ATGCCATTTCTCGCCTCCAACAAAGCTCCAACATTGGAGCAGCCCCAGTCTTATCCCTCGTAAACCCGACCACTCTCTCTCCGATATCTAAGACTCGATCTGGAGCTCGACATTGGGGTGTACAAAATCATCGGTGCCACCATTTCACATATTGTGTCATTGCTCTGTTTTTATGCGGTCAAAATCGGCGCTAACGCCTAGACGAAACGTGCTCAACCTGCTGCATGCGTTTCGGCAAAATCACCTCCTCGGCAGCCGGTGAATTTTTCAAATGTACATCTTTCGTGTTTGGCAGCATCGATCTAACTTGATGAGCCGACACGCCGTTTCTCGCCTCCAACATAGCTCCAAGATTGGAGCAGCCCAAGTCCGACACCTTGTGGACCAGATCACTCTCTCTCAGATCGAAGACTCGATCTGGAGCTCGACATTGGGGTGTGCAAAATCATCGGTACCACCATCATCACCTCTGCACACATAGTGTCATTGCTAAAATTTGGCCAATTCCTGGAATTCTAGGCCCGCCTAGACGAAACGTGCTCAACCTGCTGCATGCGTTTCGGCAAAATCACCTCCTCGGTAGCCGTTCTATTTTTCAAAATGTACATATTTCGTGTTTGGCAGCATCCATGTCTCAGGATGAGCCGACATGCCATTTCTCGCCCCCAACAAAGCTCCGACATTAAAGCAGCCCCAGTCTTATACCTCGTAAACCCGACCACTCTCTCAGATATCTAAGACTCGATCTGGAGCTCGACATTGGGGCGCACAAAGTCCTCGGTGCCACCTTTTGTACTAGCCCCCGCGGTGCAGACACAAACAACAGCGAGGGGAGAGCCGTCTCGCGTGAAGCAAGCAGTTGTATTGGGCTTACACCACAGAGGCAAAAGATGAGGTGAGCTACAGTGCACGCCACCTGCACCCTACCAGCTAAATGGGGTCCAAAACTTTTGTATCCCAGCCATGAACACATACTAGTAATGTTTTAGGAAAATGACGTTATAGATCGACTGTTTAGTCCAAGGGGAAGCGATGTATAAGATTGGATTGCAATAAATCGAAAAACTGAGCAAGTTATCGGCGTTCAAAGTTCTACAACACTACGAGGTATTGCGGGGGAGCCAAATTGCTACGAAACAGTACCATCGCTCGATTGTTTTTCATCGCTTTTACTATTTTATTATTTTTATTACACCTTTTTATCTATTTTATTAAAACTATATTCTGGCTTATGCTAGTTTTAGTATGTGAAGGATCCGGATAAGGCCCGAGCCGAAATTGTTACAAAAATTGCGATTTGGTAGCCTACAGACGGCGTGCACTGTACAAAGTGTGGAAAGACGAGGAGGCGTTGGTGAAAGGGTATTTGAAAAAGTTGTTGGTAGGCTTCTCAAGGGAGGAGTGCTAAGCCCTCGGAAACCAGTCCAATAGTCAGTGGCAAGCCAACTGGACTATCGGAGTTTGTAAAAATGAATGTGAAAAAAAACCACACCGAAGTGTGGAAATCAGTTTTCACACTGATTAGAACAGATACTACACTTGATCTTAGCCAAAAGGCCGAGAAGGTATGATTTCCAATAATGAACCGCCATGCTGGATACCTAGGTCGTGTGTGTGCTTTGGGTACCGCTTGGAAGATGACATTGTCGCTAAATGCTTCTAGATTCCGCCGCCGATGGTTGCGCATGGATCCAAGATCCTGCGTCACGTCCCCTTGGTCTCTCGACAACTGTCCAACGCTGCTCCAAGGCACTCTGTGCTATTGTGTTGAAGTATCGTGTTGAAGTCTTTTGCAGGGCAGCTTCGAATTGGTCTGACCCTTGCAGAATTTTCTACGTCGGATATGGTGACGGTTACATGACGTGGCGCTCTCTCGTGCGAAGCGTGGCACCTTTCACTTGGATAGATAGATAGACATCACAATACTGAGCCAAGTTGATGGCCACACGATCCGACTGCTAGGCATTCGAATCGCCGAGGCTATCGTGTGATTTTGAAAGAGCTGGTACAACCACGATGACAAAATGCAACCAGAGTCAAGTTGATACCAGTCGATTATCCTAGACACCTCGCGTTCTCTTACCTAGGCGCGGACGCGGGCTTCCCAGCACGTGGCGTAGACGTCCTTGACCGAGTTGAAGTTCCATTGCCACTGGAACGAGTACACGCCGGGCGCAATGTCTTTTTCGAGGTTGAAGCAGAGACTGCAGAGCGCGCGGCCTTGGTCGCGAATCCCGCCCTTTTCGTCGCAAAACTTGGGGCAGTGCTGGAACCCCTTGTAGTCGATGACACCTTCTTGGTGCGCCCCGTTGAGGTGCTGGTACTCGATCGGCCACTCGTGGAGCGCGGGGTCGGACGCATTCGCGGACGTCGTCCGGAAGATGCGGACGCCCGTGTCTGGAATGTACGCGTTCGTGCACGCCGCCGCAACGTGGTTCTTGGCCGGGTACGCGACGCACACCTTTTGCCCCGGCGCATACGTGGCCATCGGCGCCGTCTCCGTGTAGGCGCCGGCAGATTCCTTGGCACACTGGCACGACTTGTGCTGCAGCAGCGGTCGAAAGTCCAAGCCCGTGTCAACACCAAAGCCTTGCGCCTTCTGGCGACTGCCGCAACGCGCGTAGCCGGTGCAGGCCGCCGGGTTCCAAAACTCTTGGTTGGCGGTCGTCGATGCGTCATAGTCGGTGCACTCTAGTCATTTCATACAAATAATTGTTGGCAATCGTGTTGGTAAGAAGAGATACGTACCGAGCCACGAGTGCGCCGTCGCGGTCGCAGCGAACAGGCTCAAAAGCGCAGTGGATGTCAACATGCTGCAAGGTCGTCGAGGCAAAAGCGAAATTGCAAAGTGAGCGCTCTCTACATACAAGTACGGCTACGACGCTGGGCATCGGAACCACCATATCGTGTGACGATTGGCCGTTTCAACCATCATGAACGACCCCGTGGCAGCGGCGAGTGCGACGCTGGCCGGCCAATGGCGTGCAGATGCGGCTTCGACACCGATCGACCGACGCCACCGGCTTCTCGATGCGGTCGCGGACAAATGGTCGCACGGCCGCCGGGCGCCGACAGAGAACGCACTCGCATACGACCCGCAATACTGCAACGCGTTCATTCAAGACGCGATCGCCGTCGTGTATCACTCGGCGCGGTGGACACACGGCGCCAAGACAACGACCAAGACGACGACGACTCTGTCGCCACCGAAAACCACCGTGAGCAACAACCGTCCGACGTCCGCGACCAGCGTTCGACGAAGGACGCTGGTGGACAACCCGATCAAGAACCCGATCGATGTTGCCACGATGGTGTACCGCGCACCCATGTTCCAGGCGCCCCATTTACAGGCGCTCGAAGCCGAGACATATTCGCTGCTTGACGCGACCGACGTTCGGTACAAGCATCGACTCCCGCGCGGACCAGGGCTCAGCGCCGCCCGCCTCCACAGCGCGACCTCTCGCCGCGTATACTCTGAAATGGCTCGTCCAACAGCTCATATGGTGCGACTAGCAACGCCCCCAGAGCGCAGGTATCACTCGGCCACGACCCAAAGACGCACCAAAGCGAGCGAGTTGTCGACGTCTCGAGCAGGCGTGTCGCGTCATCTACACATTTGTGTGCAAACACTATTTGCTGCGAAAGCTGCAACGCATTTCGAAACTCGAAGGTACACAAGAAATCTGGTTTCTGGTTTTCTGGTTTCTGGTTTCTGATGCATCGATATGACCAGACCGTCGACACGCCGCTGCCCGGCGACTCCAAGTCTGGTATCGACGACGACGCCAGCACAGCAATCGCAACAAGTCACCGACCCGAACCAGATTACGCGCCAAAAAACCCAAGCTACGCCGGCGTCACCCCCCGCCACCCGAGCCCGTCCGGCAACGACAAAAGACTGGTCAGCGCGCGCCCCGCGACATTGAAGCCGAAGCCATCAACACGTACCTCCTCGCACGCCTTCTCGCGCGCCCCGGCGACCCAAGACAAAAGAAGAAGCCACCGCGAAAGCCTCGACCCCTGTGTCGCTTTCGACACCCGAGCCGGTACCTTGCGGCTTTGATCATGTCGTCGGTCGACATTGTGACGGTGCTCATGCGGTGCGCACCCCGGGTCGCGATCCCCGCCTACGTTCTCTCTGCTCGTACCGCACTCGCAGTACCCTCAGCTGTCGATGACACCACGGCGTCAACACCCATCCTGAACCCGTCGTCGCCCGATGACCAGCCAGTGTCCGTGGCGCCAGCCCACCGCGTGTTTGCGACGGCCGACCGACTGCAGCTAATGCTCTTCCGCGAAAAGTCCCAAGCGACGCTGCAGCAGTGTCTCGACATTCTCGCCGACGATGCATCCGAAAGCACTGCCTCGGACGTGCGCGATGCGGCCGAGAGTCCACCGAACGACGACGACGACGACAGCACACCGCGCCTCCCGGTGCTCTTACGACGCAACTCGTCGCTTCCGTGTCTCGCGATGCAGTGCAACATTGCTGACGCGGCCGCATCGACGATCCAACGGGCCTATGGACAATATTGTCGCCGACAGACGCAGACGTTGGCGGCGGAACGCATTCAACGCCAATATCGAGTCCACGTTGTCCGCGCTGATATTCGACTGGGTCTCAAAACACTCCGGGCGCAGCACCGACGCACGACTCGGAAGCGCGCGGCTTCGCTTCGACCACAAAAGACACGCGGGTGGTCGACACTCTACCTCGTGCTCCGCCTCCAGCAGATTCTGCACCGACGCGTCGCCAAGTGGCGCCAGTCGCAGCGTGCGCCGTCGACGAAAGTTGAAGGTGCGAGTATGACTGCCGTCATGTCCATCCAGCGGTGGTATCGGCACTGGAAAGTGGCGCCGACGACTATTGCGGTGGACGATCCGCCGCCACCCGTGAGTGGAGTCGACGACCGTGACGACGATTTGGTTGATGACTATGCGATCGCGATAACCCCGCTGGCCGCGTCACCGGTGCGGCTACCCAACGACGACGCTGCGAATTGGGCGACGGCGATCGACGCCGACGGCAATGCCTACTACTTTAACACAATGACGCGCGAAACGACGTGGGACCCACCGCGTGGGTGGCAGCCGCCGACGTGGGATACGTGCGTCGACACCAACGGCACTGTCTACTATTATAACCGGACGACCAACGAGTCAGTGTGGGAGCTTCCGTCGACGCACTCTGTGCAAGGCTGCATACCTACCAACACGAACGCCGTCGACACGTGACGGGGTCAACACTCTGCACGTCCTCCAACTAGACTTACTCTTCAATGCCAATTCGACTAGTTTTGTGGCGGGAATGGAACTCGCACTGCTTGGACGTACTCGCTTCCAGCTTTCAACGAGAGCAATAAGATCTGGTCTACAGCAAGCTGCTTCCACGACGTCTCCGTACCTGCGGTTCACGACGATGACGCTGCGTTGACTGCGTCGACCTGCCATGCCGCCAGTGCAAGCTTTCTGCGGCACCGCTGGCAGACGATCGCTTGACGTGATGAAGGCGCAGTGTTGCAGGTTGAGGGCGGCGAGCTCTTGGCGCAAGTTGCTTGGCTCCCAGCGTGGCACCCAGAACGGCACCAGGTGTTTTAGTCACCCACCCGACGACCGACCTGACGGCGTGGGTGCACGAAGCAAATGTGACGACCGAGCACTATCGTACTAGTACGCCAGCTAGTCTACTACGCAAAGCCTCTCTTCATGTCTAGTCGACACGCTTGCGACTGCAAGTGGTTTGGTGCAGCCACAACCAGATCAATGGCCTTGGCACCGCCCACCAACCAATCTCCTGCATCCATGTGACGCGGCAGCTGTCGACGTCATGGTCTGCCACTCGATTTCAGGACGCTTCTGCAGTCGGATCAACGGACGCAACAACGACGGTCCGCCGTACCACGGGAATCTTCAACCGGCCGCGTGTGGCGCCAAGGGCAAGTTCAACGTGGCGTGTCGCATATACATTCCACCAATCCAACGCGTCCAGCACACTGTGCTCGCTCGTGATTGGTTGGCGCACAAGATTTGCCGGTCCCGATTGCGTCATCATGTATCCGGAAAAAGCTTCTGGTGGCCAATGCCACGCGATCTTTGCTCTTTGCACTTAGCGCTCACAAGTAGATTGCCGACGATGGCCAAGCTGCAGCTCCAAGGCGCCTTCACCGCGCTCGTGACGCCCTTCACTGCCGACGGTGCCCACGTCGACTACGACGCCCTCCGCCGCATCGTCGAGGCGCAGATCGCCCAAGGAATCAACGGCCTCGTGCCCATGGGGACGACCGGCGAGTGCCCGACCGTCTCGCACGACGAGCACGACAAAGTCGTTGCGGCCGTCGTCGAGTACGCGGCAGGTCGCGTCCCAGTCATTGCGGGCACGGGCTCCAACAGCACGGTCGAGGCCGTGCGCTTGACCAAAGCGGCGAAAGCGGCGGGCGCGACCGCCTGTCTCGTCGTCAACCCGTACTACAACAAGCCGTCGCAGAAGGGGCTCTACGAGCACTTCAAGGTCATCCAGGACATTGGTCTGCCCGTCGTGCTGTACAACATTCCGGGACGGACCAACATCAACATGCTGCCCGAGACCGTCGCCGAGCTGTACAAGCTGCCGCACATTGTGGCCATCAAGGAAGCCACCGGATCGCTCGAGCAAGCGTCCGAGATCGCCGCGCTCTGCGACATTACGATCCTCTCGGGCGACGACACGCTGACGCTGCCCATCATGTCGATCGGCGGGAAAGGCTGCATTAGCGTCCTCTCCAACATTGGTACGTCGCCGTACGAGGCTCTCCGCATCTGATGAACGCTGTAGCACCGCGCCGCGTCTTGGACGTGACCGAACCCGCGCTCCGTGGCGACTATGTGGCCGCGCGCCGGGCGCATCTCTCGTCGGTACGTCGACGATTGGCGCTGGTCGCAAGTTTGTGGGCTCATGATGCTGGTGTGGTGTAGATTCGGCTGTGCAAGACCATGTTCATCGAGACCAACCCGCAGCCGATCAAGAAGGCCATGCAGCTGCTTGGCATGTGCTCGCCGGCGTGCCGCCTTCCGCTCGTCGAGTGCTCGGACGAATCGGCGGCCATTATCCGCACGGAACTCGTCGCCCATGGCCTGCTTCAAGGGTAAACACGTAATCATGTTGTACTCGCATAGTATCGATGGAGATCCCTTCTTCCCGTCGACGTATCCTCACAGGGAGGACTTTGGCACCATGCGATCTTGGGCGCGAAGCAACTGCGTGAGTTCCTATTCACACGGTGCTGCATCGCTCCATACCGAGATCGCACGGACCTTGATCTTGGATGCATCGTCTGTGTAGTATTGCTCGAGTGTCGTCGCGAGCGCCAAGAGGTCGGGTGGTGCATCGCAGGACGGTACGTTCAAGACGGTATCAAAAAGGACACTCCAGAGATCCGATCGCCAGTAGCGCTTCCACTGCCGCTTGATGCGCCACGTCGACGACGACGTGGTGTGGAGCTCGATGTAGTCGCCAAAGAGCAGAAAGTGGGCTGTGGCGATGACACCAAACGCGTCGACTTGGTGGCGCCACGGCCGCTTTGTGAGCATCTCGACGCACTGGAAGCCTTTGGCGTGGCAGTCGCCCTTGAAGCACGTGCCTTTTGGATACAGGTGCAGATCGATCGACCGGCCAAAGTCGATGAGGCTCAGCTCCGACGTCTCGAACGCCGCCGCGCCGGTCGAGAGCGCACTGCCGCGAAGGAGCACCCAGTTGTCGGGCTTGATGTCGCCGTGCAGAAAGTGCGCGGCATGCACCATGTGGATCGACCGGAGCATTTGGAGCGTGTAAAACATGGCGAGGTTCTCGGGCACCGCCTTGCCGTGCTACGCAACACCCCTCGTCTCAAGGCCACACGAGGTATCGGATAGATATGCTACCTTGGCGTACGTGTTGACGAGGTCGTGGAGTGTGCCCCGGTAGCTGCGCTCGAGGCACAAGAACGTTGCGTTCTGCCTCGGACAAGACATCAACATTGTCCGAGCCATCGTGACCGGAAGAAGCACCTGGTACACGTGCAACTGGTCGACTTGGATCACAAACGGATGCAATCGGGGAAAGAGCGCCCAGCGCGACGGTTTAGTGCGGTTGTGGATCGTCTGGATCGCGTAGAACTCCCACGGGAGAAACTCGACCCCTTTTTCATGCTGTACATTGCGTCAGTCGTCAGTACGAGGCTGGTATCGGGCCACCTTCATGGCGACCTCGTGGTCCATGAGCTCCGTGTCTTCGATGGACGGAAACGTCGCAGCGTAGACCGACGCGAACGAGCCCGAGCCGAGGCGGCCCGTCAGATGGCACACCATAAAGTGGTTGAAGCGCACAGCAATCGGTGCTTTGAACTTGATCGGTCCCTTTTGCTTGAAAATGGGTAGCTTGGCGTCAAAGACGTGCTTGTACACGTAGACACCGGTGCCCAACGAGCACAGGAGCGTCGCGAGCGTCTGGGACTGCACCATCTCTTTTCGATGCTTGGTCACATACGGGTCGACGAGGCGCCCCTCGCTACAGGGACATGGCGTCAAGCACCAAGAAGATTGGGCGTGGACATGGAGCGATCGATCATGGGTTCATTCGTGTTGAAGACCAATACAAATACATATAAATACGAAGCTACCTCAACTTGGTGGGGGCAAGCAGGTCCAAGTGGTCGGTGCCCCCGCTACTCGTACGGCCGACGCGCCTGGCGTAAAACACAATGAGCCTCTACCGGTCGCCCAACGTCGTGGGCAAAAGACTGAACCCGAGCACGTCCTTGTTGGTCTTCTTTGTCGACTTGGCAATGTCGTTGCGATCGCCAAGCGCCTTGCGGTTTGGGTCCTTCTTGTGCGGCACGACCGGCCCCGACTTGTCATTTTCTTCTGTAAAGATGAGGAACGCCGGGTTGGCGTCGACAGCTGGCGTGCTCTCATCGTCATCCTCGTCGTCGTCATCGTTGCGGCCGTGGGGCTTGGCCTTGAACGCCGAAAAGTGCAATTTGCGCACGATCGGTTCTTCGGTTTTCGGGACCCAGTTGGACTTGCGGAACGACGTCAACTGCTCTTTCGTCGGCGACGCGACCACCGGGACAGCTTTAGTTGGGCTGCAAAACATGCTGCCAATGTCTTCGTACGCCATGCGCGTGTTGAACGTCATGTCGTCTTGCGTGTACTTGGCGTCGTCTGCGATCGCTGCGAGGGGATGCAAGGCGCCGGTCACGGCCAAGACACCGCCGGGCGCCACGGTCGGACGTACAGTCGGCTGCCACTTTTGCGGCGCGGGGGCTTGTTGGACAACTTCGTCATCTGTATCGTCGACGAGGAACCCGTTGCGCACAGGTTTGTTCGTCGGCACCGGCGCCACCGGGGCCTGGACCGCTACAGCCGCCTGTGCCTTGGCAGCCTTCGCCTTCCAGTATCGCTGGGCGCGCACTTCCTCAAAGCAGAGATCGTCCTGCCCAGGCACCTTGAGCATTTCCATGTTGACGCGAAGAATGTCGCGCTTGGTCGCGGGCTTGGTCGTCTTGCGGGCCGAGGGATCTGGCTTGGTCGACACCGTGGGTTGCGTCGGGTTTTCATCGTTGGACGGAAGCACCGCGGGCGTCATCGACCGTTCGTCGAGCCGCGGACGCAGTGCGCGGCCCGTGTCGTGGCCTGCATGCGGTCGCTTGCGACTCGACGTGCGCGTCGCAGCACTCTCGTCGACAAAAATCTCGACAGGCGGCGCTGTCGGCTCGTCGTACACCGTCGACAACGCATGTCCTGCCCGTGGCGCGAGGCCCGCGCCCGCCCAAATTGACGGCTTTTGTTCGTTCTCCTTGTTGACCACCTTGGCCGATGGCAGCACCTTCCATGCACTGCTCTTGTTCTCCGAGAGTACGCTGCTGTTGGCGTGGGCCTTGTCGTTCTCCGAGTAAATGGCAAACGACGACGCGTTGGCCGCAACAGAGGACGGGGTTTGGCGACGGGGCACCACGGGGACGACGATGGTTGGTGCCGCCGTCGGGGCCAGCGCTTGGCGGCCCCGCGGCGCGTCGTCCTCGTCTTCTTCGCGCAACGTTGCAGCGCTCAGCCACTTTTGGCTCACCCGCCGTTCAAATTCACTGTGCTTGCGCTCGAGCGCGTCAAACGGCTCGGCTTTTCTACACACCAAAGAGGTGAGAGGTCCCGTAGCGACCAGTGCGATATCATGTACTTTTGGAGGCCCTTGGCGTAAATGAGCTCGGCGTTCTTGACGTCGCCCTTGCGCTCGAGGAGGAGCGCCCACGCAATGTAGAAGAGCGCGAGCTTGTCGCCAATCTTGTTCTTGTAGAGGTACTTGAAGACCTCGATGGGCTTGTCGACCCGGTCAATCTACGCCATATGAGCCTTCCTCTCGCACTTCAGATGCATCGTCCTCGTACATATTGGATCCAGAACCGAAGGTACCGGTCGTCGTTGCGGTAGCGACGATCGGCCGTGAACGCGCGCGTCGCGCGCTCGAGGATCGTAAAGTTCTTGGCTGTATCGGACGGGAAGTTCTCCTCGGTCCACTTCTGGTACGCGACCCATGTCTCGAGCGGGTCCTCGTGGCTCATGGCGTTCTTGATCTTGACTTCATAGGACCTAGCATGATGCACATGGATCGAACCGTCGTCGTCGGCGCTCCGTGACGTACCGCTCCATCTCGGCCAGCGACGCCTTGAGCTCGACCGAGTTGGCCTTGACGAGGAGCGCGTTGAGCTTCTCGACGTTCCTTCCCCGCGCGACCGGGGCTACGTTCTCCTTGCAGAGCTCCCATGCGAACGATGCATCTCCTCGGCCTGCCATGCTTCCGATCGCTGCCACGAACTCGACTGAGCATGAAATTCAAAAATCCAAATGTTGTTATCCGGATGATCCGGATACACACAACGTGGCAGATGCCACATTCCATTCTGACCAATCACATGCCATTTTTTTGTGCGATTTTACCCAATGGCCGGTGGCGTATTCGTGGCGCATGAACGGAGCATACCCCGGCGGCTTTGCGCTGGACGCGACCAGCGCCGAGCTGCCCGACGACGCCCATGCGTACGAGCAAGAGATGGCGCTCGACAGGTACATGCAGTCGCCCGACAAGGACGACGACGCCGATACCGACGTGGGCAGCATGACCTTTCTGCCGACCTTGGCGCCGCCGCCCGAGACATCGCTTAAAGACGAGAAGCGCCGCCGCCTCCAGGCCCATCCCATGGTACTGAGCGTCTCAACCGATGGACGCGAGGTTGCTTGCAAGTGTGGCCGCATCGTGCGCCTCAACCCGCCGTGGTACATGCTCAAGTACGAGCAGCACACGATGAGTCGCAACTGCGGCGAGCCACGGCCGAACCGCAAGCGCAGCTTGGCGCGCACGTCGTCCTTGGCCCATACGTCTGTCGATACGGATGTCGATGCGATCTTGGCGCAAGGCGAGCCAGGCCCCGACGCGTCGGTCCTCGACGAACACCGCTTCCGCGTCGCGCAGCAGCTGCGCGAGCACCCGAAATTTGTCGCGATGGCGCCTGACGGCCTCTCGATCGAGTGTCGCTGTCAACGGCTCGTGCATCTCGATGGGCCGTGGCAACCGGCAGCGTTCTTTGCCCACATCGAGAGCGACGTCTGCGATCGGCCCGTGCAACGCAAGCGCCGCCGCCCGTCGCCGCCGCCGCCACCCTCGACAGTCCTCGCACTGCCGTGCCCCGGCATTCGATCGCCCGATGTCGCTGCGTACGTGCGCGCCGCGGTCCAGGTCACGGGCGGTTCCCGGCCCCGGCATACGATTGCGCGGGAGCTCTTTCCGCGTCTTTTGCCACCCGGTGGGCCCTGCGAGATGGCCAAACTGCTCTGTCCAACCGAGAAGAAGCTACTGCACGATGCGATGCAGCGCGAAGCGCTCTGGTGGATCGACAAGGATGCGGGTACGGTCCGGAGTCTCCAGTGCACCGGCGCAGCGACGCGCGCGACAGCCGACGCGACGCGGCTGCCCTGTGCGAAATGCAGTCATTTGCGGTCGATTCCGTCGTTCCGGACTGCTATTGCCAGTGCCAACAAGCCGCCAAAGGCGCTGCGTCAAACCAAGTTTATACCCAAGAGCCTCGGGCCGGCATCGGCCGTCGACGCACTCCTCGTCCATGGCCAGGACGCTTATGTCCGAGAACTCCGCGATTTGCTCGCTCAGCACGCGAGCGATGCGACCACGAGCAGCCATGTCTGGCTCCATGCGGCCGAAGTCGGCTTGCGCAACGAACTCGCCGAGCACCCCGTGCTTCTTGCAGTCCTCGAGTGGATCGTCCACTTGAAAGAGAAGGAGCGGCGCGGCGTCGGCAAGCAAAATATGCCGATTTCACCGGCCTTGGACGCGTTCCATGCGGCACTTGCCGCCCTCTCGGAAGACGCAGCAACGCTCTTTGGGCTCCACTTTTGCGGCCGGTCCAAGCGCATCAAGTCGCGCAAGACCGATGGACACGTCTTGTCGTTGCTACCGCCGGACGCAGCGCTTAGCGACCTCATGCTCACGTTGCCACCGTCAGACGACCCGCCTTCGGACAGCGGCGACCACGACCTTTTACCGGACGAGCTCGACGATCCGGTCGCGCCATCTTCGATGGTGCTGGCGCAGCGCGAAGCCGCGTGGGCGGTGCATGTTCAGAGTCACCCCAACGAAGAGATCCCGTGCCCCGGCATCACGGCGGTGCACGAATTTGTGAGCGCGAGCTTTCAGCCCATTGGTGGCAGCCGCCCGCGGTATGTGCTCGCCAAAGACTATGCGCCGGACGCGCTCGTCGACGGCAAGTTTGTGCTGTCGGCGTTGACGCCGGCGCAAGCCGATCTGATTCATGACGCGGCGTTTCGCGAGTCGCTCTGGCGCATCGACAAGCACGGCAAGTGCGTCCGTAGCCAGCGCTGCCACCGCAGCTGCACGCGGACCAACGGTGCGTGCGACGCCTGCCTCAGCCTCCACCGCAACGCAACCTTTCGATCGGCCGTGAGCCGCGCCCGGAAAAAGGCGGCCGACCCCGCGTCTGTGCTCGCGAACGTCCGGTTCACGCCGCACGCGTTCACCAAACACGACCCGCTCTTGCGCGCCGTGGCCAGCAACGCCAGCCTTCGGTCGCTCGTGCTCGAACCACCGCGCGACGACCGCGGCATCTTTTGGCTCAAGCTCGCGCGCTTGGGCCTCGCGGGCGCGTTCCGTGAGTTTTGCGTTGTCGAAGGCGTTTTGCAGAGCGTGCTCGACGTCAAAGACAAGGCGCGGCGCGGCGTCGGCAAGCAAAACATGAACTACACGCCGGCGCTCGACGCGTTTCTCGACGAGCTCGCGGTGACGTCGCTGCCAGCGTTCGAGCTTTTCGCTGGGCATTTCTGCGTGCGCTCGCTGCGCTCGAGCAAGCTCGTGCAAAAAAGGAAGCGGCGCAAGCTCGACGATGGACTCGCCGATGAGCCCATGGCGATGCCGGCCATCTTGATGTACAGCGACGACGAGGCGGGGCCGACCAGCAGTGACCGGCTCCTCACGGATGCGTTTCTCGGTACATCCGAGAGTGCACTTGGCCTCGCGTCGGCCCTTGCGCGTCTTGATACTGACATCGCCGGGAATGACGTCATTTCGCTGTAGATACAGGCGCAGAGGGTAATGAATGGACTCTCATTTCGCGTTCATTTCTTGGCGAGCGACCTTCTAGCTGTATGGGGATCGATAGAAGCGAGGCTGGGTGTCGGAGCGTTGCCGTCGACGCTCGTGACGACAGGTAGCTGCATAACGCAACAAGAAGCGTCAGATGGATGTCGCTGGTCGAGAGGCGGAGTAGGGGTAGGGTCCTTCACGTTTAGCGAGACGTAGCGACCAACCCTGCGCTCGATTGTGTTTTAAACATGTTTTAAACATATTGAGAGATCCGTCAAGCTCGATCGACGGACGCAAGTCGGAAGACATGGTCTACCTCGATGTATTCACGAGCGCGCCGCTTCTGCCGCTTATCGCAGCCTACCAAGCGGGCGTCAACCAAGACGTACGCATCCTCACGCGCCTCGGCCACACCCCACCGGACGGCGACCTCGAGTCCTTGCATACGGTGATGGCACCGTGGCTTGCTCGCGTAGGCTTTCGCTTCGTGCGCCAGCTGTGCCCAATGCTGCTGCTTAGCTACGCGCTCGAGTATGGTCGCGTCGACGTCGTGCATGAGCTCATCGCGACGAAGCTCTTGTACGTCACCAGCACGCGCTGGGCGCTTCTCTATGGGACGTGGCGGTGCTGCATCGGCAAGCACATGCATTTGCAACGGCACTACACCGCGGACCGCGACGGGCATGTCTACGACGGCGACGGCTCGTATCGCTACGCTATATGTGGCAACGGAGCGTGCATTGCCGGCTCTTTGCACCACTTTGCTGTCGCGGCCATTCTTGGCGACCACGTCGACTTGCTGCAATTTGTGACAGCCGAGAGCAGCTTGGGTGCGTATTCGCGGGCGCTGGTGGCGCTTGCGCTTCGCGGTGGCCGACTGTACATCGTGCTGGACCTCTACGAGCGGGGCGTGATCTCGGCCTTCAAGGCCCACCACATGCGGCTTGCGGTGATGAGCGGCAGTGTGGACCTTGTGGCGTTTCTCTTGGCCAACAGTTCGAGCCGCATGATCGCCGACGCGTTCGCACAAGCGGTGACCCAGAACCAGTTTGCACTCTTGCAGTGGCTCTGCGCCAAGTACGACAACAAGACGTATTGGGCCATCGCGCTTGATATCGCAGTCACTCATGTGCAACAACATGTGATTGCGTACTTTGCAGCGACGCACGACCTCCACCTTGCGCCGGCCAAAGCTGCGCGCATGGACCGACGCCGCAAGCGCCACAACAACGAGAAGCCGGCCCGGCAGACACGGTTGCGCAAGTAGCACCGACGCCGTCGTGTCGATGCACGCAACGTTAAGCTTGATGTCTATCTATCTATCCATCTATCTATCCAAGGCGCAGTATATTCTTGGTATGACGCTTCCCAGAATGCACGCCGACTCGGCACAAGGAAATAAGAACAATGGCTTATTCCCTTGACTTTGCACTACCTGCGGCTAAACGTAGAGTACGTCCGTGATACTGACAGCCCCATATTTTTGAATCGATCCAATAGTCTCAGAATTCGATTCCGTTGGAGGCTTAGGATTCCAGTTGCACGCGGCAGCATGCACCACAAAGAAGCCGTCGAGGACGCTGGGGCAAGTGGGAATGATCTTGTCGAAGTTCCCAAAGAACCGAAGAGTCCGTTCATGGTTGTGACGAGCGATCGTGTGCAGTCGTGGGTGGGATAGGGCGTGAAATTATATTTGTCGCTAATGCTGAAGAAGCCTCGGCGCACGAGACATCAAAGTCTCTTAAGCAATAGCCCAGGACCGCTATTTGCCCTACCTGGCAACGGCGGTAGCCGCCCCACTTTTGAATAAACCAACGCGATGTGAACTCGGTGCTTCCTTCTCGCACCTGACCAGAAACAGTTTTAAACATGTTTCAAACATGCACTTGTGCTACTCTGTTTCAAATCCACCGGCGCAAGACGCAAGCCAACTGCA